ACTCCACAGAAGTAGGCAATACGCTCCATAGAAGTAGGTGATATACTCCACAGAAGTAGGTAATACGCTCCATAGAAGTAGGCGATACGTCGCATGGCTCCACACCTTGCAGCAGAATGCGCTGCCACAGCTCATTGACTTTCTGACTGTCTTTGTAGTCGGCGATTTGCATCAGACGTAAACACGTGTCATGCATGTGCAGTGGTTCTGCATGCTTCTTGTACAGCTGAAGCCAATAAAGAAGGAAAAAAGAAAGGATGGGCATAGGAGTACGCAAACTTGAAAATGATGTGTATATGAGTACGCAAACTTAAAAAGCATATGCATATGAGTACATATATAAGTAAAAGCAAGAACGTATGAGCACGCAAACTTTGAGTACGGCTATAGAAAAGGATGAACATATGAGTGCGCAATATAAAACGATTATGCTTATGAGTACGGATATAAAATAAGCATCTGCCTAGGACTACGGATATAGACTAATACAGCTTCAGTCCACAACCGAAGTTAAGGATCATTGTGGTTGTGAGGGACTCAGTATGCTTCATGTACAGGTGTACATATATTCGTATTCAATATATATGCGAGAATTTATACACATATATGTACACAAACACACAAACACACACACACACCACACACATATATATATGGATATGTAAATGGGTATATATCAATATGTATATATAATCCACACGAAGAAGATGTGATCCACATTCAGAAAATCACATATAATAAAACAAATCACATATACATCACATATGAACCCACACCCGCACGTCTATACACACACACATCTCTATGCACATGCGCACAGATCAGTCATACCTGTGTGACATCCAACATGTCGTATCTGAGTGACCTCAGCGATGCTTGTAGTGCCTTGTAGTCACTGCCGTTCTTGATGAGGACGTTGGCTATGCCTGCTTGCACCTCTGCACACATGGACAGCTGAATCTCTGCGAGCTATGAGAGGCGGATAGATCAAATCAAAAGATCAGGGTGTGGAGTGGTAGGTATGCGCACTCCCGTATCTACAAACATACACGGTGAATGGTGGGGTGTGTATGGTGGTACATAACTGTCTAGAGTGGCTTTGTTTGGTTTGGCTTGAAAAGAAATTTGTATCTCAGAAAGCTGAGTAATACGAGTTATCAATCGTGGCTATACATACATAACACATAAAAACGATACATACAGGCATACATAATTATTACCTTATTTACACATAC